TTTGATTTTGTTCTCCCTCTTGCCAGGGTTTAGATGTTGATTCTCTGGTCATTGAGCACATCCAGGTGAACAAAGCCCCCAAGATGCGGCGTAGAACGTACAGGGCTCATGGTCGGATTAACCCATACATGAGCTCTCCCTGCCACATTGAGATGATCCTTACTGAAAAAGAGCAGATTGTTCCTAAACCAGAAGAGGAGGTTGCACAGAAGAAAAAGGTAAACTACTTTCATTGATCAGTTTTATTTGTATTTTTTTTATATTTTGTTATATCAGAACTATATAATTATCTGGCTTTTCTATATTTCATTATATGAGAACTATAATTATCTGCTGATGGCCCCACCTATATGTCTATAGCCACTTTAAATGCAACGTGCAAAAAATGGGCCCTTCCCCTCTCCCCACCTCTCCAAATAAGCTTGTTTTCAGTAACTGTGATCCCATTCAGTTCTTTAAGCTGGGAACCTGGGAGTGATTCTGGACTCCTTCCCTTTATGCCTATTGAATTTATCTATTGATTTTGTTGCTTAAATACATTGTCTTCCATTCTTTTTTTTTTTTTAAGATTTAGAAAGAGAGCGAGCTGGGCGGGGGGGGGGGGCGCGAAGGAGAGAATCTCAAGCACAGAGCCCCACTCCAGGCTCGATCTCATGATCCTGAGATCATGAGCCAAAACTAAGAGTGGAACACTTCAACACTTAACCAACATAGCCACCCAGATGCCCCTATTGTCTTCTTGTTGCCACTTACACATGGTCTCCCTGCCCTCAGTCTTCACAAACTCCCTGCTTACTCTGTAATTTCCTTATATCTGTTCCTCCCTCTATGCCAAAGGACTCCCTTTTACATTGATGTTTCCTATTTTTCCTGAGCTACAACCTATTCAAGATGTAGTGCGAGTTTCTCCAGGAAACTTGTAACAGACCTTTTATTTTTGTTTCTTTCCCAGATATCCCAGAAGAAACTGAAGAAACAAAAACTTATGGCCCGGGAGTAAATTCTGCAGAATAAATCCAAATAAAAATAAAAAGAGAATGTTGGTGGCCTTTCATTATTAAACATATTTCAAGTATCTTCGCAAAATGGATCAAATGAGTTTTCTGATTAGAACTAGAAAGATTATTGTTTGTCCTGTGCCATTAATTTTGGTTCATTAAATATGCTGTTTTGAATTTCTTGGTGCTTTGCATTATGGAATTTGAGCATGGGCCTATTTCTGAATTTTTTTCCAACCACTTTGAGATTGAGCACGTTGTACAATTAACCCAATTACAGTTCAATAGCTTTTATTATATTCAATTATGCATCCATCACCAGGCAAATTTTTGGACATTTTCATTATCCTAAAGAGGAACCTTGGCAGTAGTTTGCGGTCACTCCTTAACAGACCCTATCGTTCTGAACAACCATTATGTAGATGTCTTATGTAGATTTGCCTTTTCTGGACTTTTCATGCAAATGGCCCTTTGTCACTGGCTTTAACTTTGCATAACATTTTCATTTCTCTTGGGTCTCTAACCAAGAGGCAAAGCTGTCATACTAACTGTGAGGGTTCCAATTTCTCCAGTTGGCTTACCGCTGTCCTAGTTGGTGTAAAGGGGTATAGCCATTTATTTAAAACAACTGAATTTCCGGCCCTTTTCGACAGGCAGGGTGAGGGATCGAGCCACAGTTGTGCTGGCTAACAGCCTCGCCCTCACATGCAAGTGGAGTAACTTTCCCAATGGTGGTGAACCCCTGGCACTGGCGTTAACCTTTCCTCAATGTCTTGGATCTTGCTGCAACGTCCGGGACAGGAAAACCCTGCTCTTCCCCGCCATCTGCCGGGTTTTGAGCTCTTGGTGGCTGCGCCGGAAGCCGGGCCGCGCCTCCGCTTGGGCGTCACCGTTACGTCCTGTGCGTCCCCCGGCTGACGCAGGCGCGCCTTTGTCGGCCCCTTTTGCGGTGCCCATTGGCTGTGCGGCAGCACGTCCCTCCCTCCGGAAGTGCGGACATTTACATTCGGACCCGTGGTCGCGGGTGAGTGGGGCCGGGTGGGCTCGGGCTGGCGGCTGGGGGTCGGGCGGAGGTGGGCGGTGGCCCTGGTGCTGTGGAGCCGCTTTGCAGGCTCCAGCCTGGGCGGCGCTGAACGAGCCCCACCCGCTCGCAGTTGGATTTCTCTGGTTCCCCCACGGCCCGCCGGCGCTCTCCCGGTACATCCTGCTTCGCCCTCCAGACTCGCGCCCCTGCCTCCTCCGTCTACGGCCACCCACCTGCTGCCCTGCGTCCCACGTCTCCCTGTCTTCTGTGCGTTTATTCTCTTCCTTGGCCTGTATTGTCGGCTTCATTTCGCTCTCCTATCGTCTTCACCACCGTTCGCTCTTACTCTCCTGTCTTTTCAGACGTCTTGGACTCAACCTGCCCCGTAAAATGATGTGCTAAACTGGGTTACTTGAAGGGAGGTGGCGTTCCCCCACTTACCTGCCCGATTTCAAATAGAGCCTCAGCCTTTTCCTCTGTATTCCATTGTTACCCTGTACGAACCCGAATGAAAGAAAATCCCTCTCCTCCGACAGTTTAAGTCCATTTTGTTCGCTATGTTGTACTATCTGAGAATTGGTTTGATGAGAACAAATAAAATACTTTATCAATTTATCATAGCACCTTCTAGACCTTTATAAGCCATATTTTCCACGTCTGAAGTAAAATCTTACCCCAAAGAGTCATGTAAGGATTAAGAAAGAGATAAAATACAGTTAGTTTCGTTATGAAGAGAGCTAACAATTTTTATACAGGCCATGATTATGACATAAGTGATTGGTAGCACTTGTTCTTGAGAAATTATTTAAAACACAATAATTAGAAGTAGGTGAAAATGAATCTGTGATGGACTGCCAGTCATTAACTTAACCTAGTCCTGGGAACCCTCAGTTGTTGTGAAGGGTTTAAGTTGGGTTTTGAAAGCTTGTTAAGAGGGGACTAACTTTATCATTGTATTTTTGTTAGGGAAAAAGGCAAGAGCGTTGAGCTAGGAAACCAGAATTGGGAATTCTGGTCTTAGCCAACTCTAGTTACTATTTAGCTCTGTGTGAACTTTGGACAGGTCGCAACTTTTGGATCTGTTTGTGGGGGGGGGGCGGGTAACAGCAGTTACATAGTACTTAATATATGCACACACTCTTCTGAGCTTTATATTCGTTATTGACATATCTGATCCACATTTACATCCCTAGGAGATAGGCTATTGTCTTCATTTTCCACAGGAGGGCATCAAGGCACAGACTCCTTAAATAATTTGCCCCAGAACACCATCTTGAAAGTGGTGAAAGCAGGTCTCAAATCTGGGCAGCTCCCAACCAGTCTGCTCTGATTATTAGGCTGTGGTGTCTGTAAGAGTGCCAGACCTAAACCAGATCACCTCTTAAGTCTCTCCAGATCAAGTTCTAAATGTCGGTGGCCAAAAATAATGGTTCCTTGAAAAATGCTGAAAAAGACTCACTGCTCATTTTGACTTACTTTAATCAGAAAATATGCTCTTTAAAATTCTGAAACAATATTTTGGTAAATTCTTAAATTGTTACTTTAGTTTGACCAGGAGATTCTTTTAAAGAATCCAACTATGGGGCGTCTGGGTGGCTCAGGTCATGATCCCAGGATCCTGGGATCGAGCCCCGCATCGGGCTCCCTGCTCGACGGGAAGCCTGCTTCTCCCTCTCCCACTCCCCCTGCCTGTGTTCCCTCTCTCGCTGTCTCTCTGTCAAATAAATAAAATCTTTACAAAAATAAAGAATCCAGCTATGAATCCTTTATAAAATAGCTGATCATTCCTTCATATACATTGATATGTTTGCTTGTTTATATCTTATAATTCATTTCAAAGAGACATTTAGATTGGGTTATCTATACCGCTGCTCGTTTGTATTGTGAATAATTTTAAATGGCCTTAGTGTAGTCATGGTGCTGACTCCTTTGACAGCAAATACTACTAAACTTACAATATTTTGGAAAATAAATTTTAACATCCTGAATTATTAGCTTTATGCACTGTTCTGAAGCTTCTTAGTTTTTCAGGCCTACTCTAAGGGATTAAAAATTTCAGTAAATTTAAGAGGTCTTTGGTTCAATAGTGTATTATGGAAGTAGTATTGGTTCTTTTTCAAGAAATTGCTTATTTGGAGAAATTCCAAGATAATTTCTAATCATCGAGGAAATTAGCAGTGTTAACTTTTTTAAAAAAGATTTATTTATTTGTGAGAGAGCACCCACATGTGCGTGGGGGGGAGGGGCAAAGGGAGAGAATCTCAAGTTAACTCCCTAATGAGCGCTGATTCCCAACTCAGGAGCTTGATCTCACCACCTGAGCTGAAACCAAGAGTCGGACCCTTAACTGACTGAGCCCCCCAGTCTCCCCTAGAGGGAGATTTTTTGAAATGGACAGTGTACTTACAACAATAATACCAAATAAAATATTTTTATTACTCAGTTTACCTAAATTGCTATTAAGAAAAAAAGCAAATATATCAAAGAAGATTTGTTGCCTGGGAAAGTCCAGCTGGTTTGCAGCCTACAGGTCTTCCAAAGTGATACCTTAGTGAATTCCTTATTACAGGATTTGCCTTAGCCTTGGAGGTTTAGCTAATCAATACTGTCAGTCTCCGAAGATGATGAGGCTGGAGTTTTTGAGAATTACATGAGTTGATAAAGGCAAAGGGCCTAACTGCCTAGTACCCAGCAAAAGTTAGTGTCTTTCCTTTATCCTTAAAATTTATGGTTGGGAAGCAGTGACTGGAGAGGTTTGGAGGCAGCCACCTCACTGTTATTTTCACGTCTACCACCTCTTGTTCTTTACAGAGAGCAGCATTTTTATTTAATAGATTTGTGCTTTTAGCTAATAAATTATTTAGGTTTTTTCTTTAATGTAGAAATAGTCCTTTCAAATATCTTCATCTAGGTAAATTCCTTCAGTCGTTAATCTGTGATGAACTGATTTGTTTTTACATTCATGTCAGCCATTCAGGCACTCCAGCCTGGGAGGATGGTGTGCATTCCTTGCATCGTCATTCCGATTCTGCTCTGGATCTACAAAAAATTCCTGGAGCCATACATATATCCTCTGATTTCCCCCTTTGTTAGTCGTATGTGGCCTAGAAAAGCTCTTCGAGAATCCCACGATAAAAACAAAGGCAAGGTAGACTGTAAGGTAAGAACATTAAAATACCTTGAACAAGGGCAGGTGATGAGGGTGGTACAGTCAGGGGGAAATACTTGCCTTTGAAAAGGCAAGTTTTTGGTACCAGAAGCTTCATTAATGTGTCTTAATTTTTTTTTTTTTTAAGATTTTATTTATTTATTTATTTATTTAGAGAGTATGAGCTGGGGGGTGGGGTCGGGGCAGAGAGAGAGAGAGACTCCTAAGCAGGCTCCGTGCTCAGCATCAAGCCCTTTGTGGGGCTCTCTCCCACCACCCTGAGACCATGACCCAAGCCTAAACCAAGAGTTAGACATTCAACCAACTGAGCTGCCCAGGTGCTTAGGCTTAATTTTTTTTTTTTTTTTTTTGTAAGATTTTATTTATTTGACCAAGAGAGCACAAGCAGGGGGAGCTACAGGTAGAGGGAGGGAGAGAAGCAGGCTTCCCGTTGAGCAGGGAGCCCGATGCGGGACCCGATCCCAGGACCCTGGGATCATGACCTGAGCTGAAGGCAGACACTCAACCAACCGAGCCACCCAGGCACCCCAGTTTCTTTTTTTAAAATAAGGGGTTTGGTGTGTTTTTTAAGTAATTAACATGTGGTTTAAACTAAGGTTTTAAACTGGACTTCTGATAAGTGTGTTTGTTCCTTGTCTTAATGCCAAGATAATAACCAATATTTCTTGGCTGGTAAGAATAATAGTAAATAACTAATGGACGAGAAGAGATGATACTAAAATATGCCAGTTTCACTGATTGATAACTTTGGTCAGAAATTTAGTTGGGAGGATCATAGAGATTTCTAAAAAAACAAACTGAAGTTATTTTTTAAAGTGAATATTTGGACAACCCTTTTTAGCATTGGTTCTTGTTAAGTTTGACTTCACTTGTGTTCTCTCCTAATTTAGCCACCCTGCACATTTTTAGAAGCAGAGTTTTTTCATTCTGAAATTTGTTGTCAGTTTTTAAAGAGAAGATTTCTTATAACGAGTTGTAATAATATCTAAAATTTTTTTTTTTAATTTTAGGACGCAGACATAAATGGATTACCAACAAAAGGACCAACAGAAATCTCTGATAAAAAGAAAGACTAAAGTGATTGTTCCAAAGGATCTCATTGTTTTAAAAATGGACATGATAATATGAAGCACCTTGCTTGTAATTGTCTCTGACCTTTTTCTCTGAGACCAGAATTTGGGATAGATAGCTTACTTATCTGATACTAATCAGGAAATACATGGTATTTATATTTAAAATGTGTTTAGTTATATTTAATGATCTCATTCCTGAGTTCCTGTTTCACTGAAGTAGCTTCCATTTCTATTATCGTAGTCATGAGTAAATAGAAGGTTTGTGCCAGTAGAGACTGCTACTAAACCAGTACTCAAAAATCCTTGGGCCACTAGCTTTCATTCAGGCTCTTTGAATTTGAGCAGAGTACAATGTTACCGTGCAACAGTGCAGTGAGACTGCAGTGCAGTGAGACTGTACGGTGAAAGGAAAAGGGGCTTGGGGAGATGATGAGGACTTGAAACCTAAAGATTTAATTACTGCCCGATACAATGGAGCAGCCTACTTCTGAGAGTAGTAATTCCTGCTTATTGCTCTGAGGAAAATAGAAAAGACAGGGAAATTGGGGAAACACCTTTGAAAAATAGAATACCTTTTACAGAAATATCTAATGTATATTATAAAATTCTAATCCTTGTTGCATTTCTTCTGTTCTTACAAAGTATATTAAATATTCAGTTTAGTCTGTGGTTCTTTTTTTCCTTTACAGGTTAAATATTTAAAACGGATATTTTTTGCCACATCAGAAAGCAGAATTATAGTGTGATAGCATCTGGATAGTGGTGAAACAATAATCATTTTTTTTTTTTTAAAGAGTAGATTGTATCCATTCTTGTTGCCTAACAAGACACTCCAGAATTTAGTGGTTTTTAACACGGGACTGGGTAGTTCTTTGCTGCTCTGGGTCTCCATTTGGTCTTTCATCCCTGGGCTGCTTCACATTAGTGACATTAGTGTAGGGATGTATAAATATTCAAAGATGATGAGCCTTATCTTAATATTGTATGTTTATTCCCTATGGGGTTAGAAGGAGAGGTTAAAAGGAACTCCCGCTCTTGAAGTCCTCGGTCCTAACGGAGGCTCTATTAAGCTGCATGTATCGTCAAGCCATTGATTCATCCTGCATTTCATTTGATACAGATCGGTAGTTTTCAGTTTTTCTGCTCCAACCCATCTGAAGGATAAAATCAATCCCCTTTAGCAACCATATTCAGTTGATTAGGTTGTGGTGGGGTTTTTTTGCACAGGATAGCCGCTTTTTTTTTTTTTAAGGTATAAAAACTATATTATAAAAATAGGAGATGTTGGGACACTTGGCTGGCTCAGTCAGTGGAGCTTGCAACTCTTGATCTCGGGGTTGTGGGTTCAAGCCCCACGTTGGGTGTAGAGATTACTTAAATTCTCAAAAAAAAAAAAAAGTTGTTCATAGTAAAAGAATGCAAGAGCAAGTTAAAGGAACAGTTAATGTTCTTTCTTTACCCTTATTCTAGCTCCACAGATGTAACCACTGTTAGTTTTCTGTGTACCTTCTACCAACTTTTTATTTTTTTTTATTTATTTATTTGAGAGAGAGAGAGAGAGAGAGAGAGCATGAGAGGAGAGAGGGTCAGAGGGAGAAGCAGACTCCCCGCCGAGCAGGGAGCCCGATGCGGGACTCGATCCCAGGACTCCAGGATCACGACCCGAGCCAAAGGCAGTCGCCCAACCAACTGAGCCACCCAGGCGCCCTTCTACCAACTTAAAAATTTTTTTTTTTAAGTAGGCTCCACACTGGGTGTGGTGTCCAGTGCGGGGGCTTGAACTCATGACCCTGAGATCAAGCAAGACCTAAACTGAAATCACGAGTCAGACATTTGACTGACTGAGCCACCCAGGTGCCCCTCTAACAACTTTCTTAATTTGTTTTTATTAAATATATCATTTTTAGAAAATAACATTGTAAGGCTTATAATGTCTGTACTCCCTTAGTCCCCAAAGGCATTACTCGTTTAGCTGTTGCAGTGTCTTCTCTTTTATCTCCGTATTTCTAAATAATACATACATATATGCTGCTAGTTTTGGAGTTGTCAGCTCTTACTGACTTTCTGCCATGGTTCAGACACAGCTCTCACACTGTAAGTGCCTCTACTTCTCCCACACCTCCTCCTAATATGTTTTTGTAAATTTTTTTTTTTTTAAAGATTTTATTTATTTGACAGAGACACAGCAAGAGAGGGAACACAAGCAGGGGGAGTGGGAGAGGGAGAAGCAGGCTTCCCGCCAAGCAGGGAGCCCGATGCGGGGCTCAATCCCAGGACCCTGGGATCATGACCTGAGCCCAAGGCAGACGCTTAACGACTGAGCCACCCAGACGCCCCTGTTTTTGTAAATTTGAGTATCATTAATTGGTCATGAGTTCAAGCCCCCGCACTGGACACCACACCCAGTGTGGAGCCTACTTAAAAAAAATTTTAAAAAGTTGGTAGAAGGGCGCCTGGGTGGCTCAGTTGGTTGAGCGACTGCCTTCGGCTCAGGTCGTGATCCTGGAGTCCCGGGATCAAGTCCCGCATCGGGCTCCCTGCTCGGCGGGGAGTCTGCTTCTCCCTCTGACCCTCTCCCCTCTCATGTGCTCTTTCTCTCTCATTCTCGCTCTCTCAAATAAATAAATCTTTAAAGAAAAAAAATAATTGGTATATCATTATGAGTGCACCATCTGCCTTCCGTTTGCCCTTCCAAATCTGCTGCCCTTACCCTACTTTGCTGCCCAAGAAACCCTATGGACTTACAACAACAGACTTCCCCTGACCTCTAGCTTGTGTTGGGTTTCGCCAATGGGGATCTGCAGCAGGAGATGGGAAGGTAGGAGGAAGGGAGGGAAGGTGGGAGGTCAGGGTAGTTTATTCCCTCTGCTGCGTCCCTTCAGGTCCTCTTCAGGTCAGTTGTGTTCCTCAGCCAAAAGTCCCTGCACCTCCAAGTTGGCCAACTGCACGTGACTTCTTTCAGTTTCCACTAACCTCTCCCTCACCTTGTCCTTTGGGGCCTGATAGGGGTGATAGCATCTCTTACTGCTGGCTCTGGTTCCTGTGTTATCTCAAGGGTGCCATCTGCTTTCTGGGACACTGACTAATAGAATGAGCACGCAGGGACTCCTCACTGTGCAGAGTATGTGTGTAGTAGTCTCCCCCTGTCTTCAGCTTCTACAATTTCTCTTACCTGCAGTCAACCAAGGTCTGGAAGCAGATGATCCTCCAGATGTCTATGGTCAGCTCAACAGTAGCCTAACACTACATCACAATGCCAACTCCTTCACTTAACTTCAGCGCAACATGTAGGCATTTTGTCCTCACATCATCACAAGAAGAAGGATAGGTACAGTTCAGTAAGATATTTTGAGAGTGATCACATTCACAGCTTGTTACAGTAGGTTCTAATTGTTCTATTCCTGTGAATCTCTTACTGTGATTTAAGTTTTTATTTTAAAAAATTTTTTCATTAGAGAGCAGGGGGAGAGAGAGGGTGAAGCAGACTCCCCCCTGAGCAGGGAGCCCGATGCGGGGCTCCATCCCAGGACCCTGGGATCATGACCTGAGCCGAAGGCAGACACTTAGCTGACTGGGCCATCCAGGCGCCCCACGCTGTCTGATTTATAAATTAAACTTTGTCATAGATATGTATGTGTAGGAAAAAACAGTACGTCTAGGGTTCGGTGCTATCCATGGTTTCAGAAATCCACTGGGGGTCTTGGGACATATACCCCATGGATAAGGGGGGACTACTGTAGCATGGTTGTGTTTCCTTTCACATACAAGCTTGGCTTTCCTGGAGTTCTTAATTACCTTTTTCTCCCCATGTACTTCCTCTCCTGACTGGTTGTTGCAGAGGCCCGATGCGCAGGGGCAGTTCTTGGGACTCTCCTTTACCACTCCTGTGCTGGATCCCTTGATTCCTGGATCCCACATCCTCTTTCTCCGTTTATGCTCTCATTTTTTCTGTAGCACACCAGTTTTCTAATTCAGTATTCTTTGAGGTTGAGTATGAATAATTTAAAAAGTTCCCTGGATCATCCCAGTTCATGTAAACCCACCTTCCTAAGAATTGCTGGTCTTCTGAGGCCTTTGCCCCTTCTAACAGTCTCACACTCAAGCACTGGTTCCCAGTCTTGTGTTTTACATACTAGTAAAAAAAAAAAATTAAAACGGTTGAAGGGACTGATACACAGCTGACAACTTTATTTGGCCCACTAAGAGTATTTTAAGAAGGTATATATCACCATTATTTCATAAGACATTTTGACACCAAAAGAATGAAAAAGAACACAAGAATAAAGGAAAACAATAGCCGATTAGTTTGAATAAATTTATGAAAAATTTTTATGGAAAATTCACTGTTTTGTCCATACTTTTCTTTTTTAAAGATTTTGTTTATTTGAGAGCACGCTCACCAGCAGGGGGAGGGGCAGAGGGAGAGGGACAAGCGGACTCCCCACTGAGTGTGGAGCCCCAATGAGAGGCTCCATCCCAGGATCCTGAGATCACAACCTGAGCCAAAATCAGATGCTTAACCGGCTGAGCCACCCAATCACCCCTTTATTTTTCTTTTTTATGGTTGATTGGTAAAAACTTATCACCTACCCTTGGACTGGTTTTGGTAGCCAGTGTCTTATACCACATAAGTGTTCTCTTGTCCCAAAATACCAGTCCTGCCATCTGTCAGTCATGTTTCAGGGGTGCCTTTCTAGTAAAAGCTACTGTGTTAAACACGAATATCTGGTGCAAGAGTATTTCACACACATGATCTCATCTGATTCTTAGAAAACCTTGAAATCCAAAGAAATAGGAACACAGAGTTTAAAGATGTTACGTGGAGAGTCCAGGATTTCCAAACTATCCTCTTAGGTCTTAAAATATTGATCCCTTATGGAGCAATCACAGCTCCTAAGACCTGTAAGACCTCAGTGGGAACAACTGAGCAGAAATGGAGAGTGGAGTATGCACTGAGCAGTGTTTGTGGACCTGTTTTCAAGTTTCCATTTTGCTCGCCTTGCACCAGCATGACTGACTTACCTAGTTTTCAGTGGCTTGTTTTTGCTTTAGTTCATTTTAACAGCACTTCCGGTCTCTTTGTGAGACACGCTCATTTTCCCAGCTAATTCTTCAAGGCTCTCCTGAAAGACTCGGTTTTTGTTACATTTTCTTCATTACTAAGCTGCCTTCCTAGGAAACATAGGTGGGTCAGCACTTCCTCCAAGTGACTACCCGTGGCCGGCTGGTCTATTCGACAGACTGACAGGATCGAAAAGAACTTTTTTAACCACTCATCTTAAGCCTTCTGAATGCTCTAAAGCTAAATGTCCTGAGTGCATTCATAATCAAAAGGAGAGAAGTTTCCTCATAGTTTCCTCCCCAGAGAGCTACTGGCTTCCATCCTCAAAGGCTTATTCATTGACATGGTGACAGCTTCTTTTTTTTTTTAATATTTTTTTAAAAAGATTTTTTATTTATTTGACACAGAGAGACACAGTGAGAGAGGGAACACAAGCAGGGGGAGCGGGAGAGGGAG